GTAAGTTGTGTTTAAAATGTATCTATTATGTAAAACAAACTACCATCATACATTTAGGTAAAATAATTATATTTTTAAGTGATTTTTATTTAAATATTTTACTTGGTTAGTTTTTCATAAACTACACACACACACACACACATAACTTCTAATCTTCAATATATATATAAAAGTGGTTTCTGGGAGCAATTTATGGCTCTGCAAAAGTATAATTTTTTCATAAATCTCCTAATCTTTAATATATTAGGTTGACCGGAAAGTAATGTCGTTTTTGCGCATGTTGACATTCGATAATCGTTGGCCAGTTTATTGTGTATCTCGAACACGTGCACAGGTTATTTTTATATTAGTGTGACTTGTTTACTTCTAAATTATTTAAAATCAAATAGTTTTTCTTTGCAAATTGGAGTGAAATGGCATACGAAATACAGAAAGTGCATATTCGTCATTGTATGCTTTTTGAATTTCGCAAAGGTAATAACGCTACAGTTGCGACTAAGAACATTAGTGATGTTTACCCAGGTTCATTAGATGTTCGCAAATGCCAAAGATGGTTTTCCAGGTTTAGATGTGGGAATTTTGATCTTTCTGACGCCCATCGACCAGGAAGACCAATGTCATTGGACAACGGCGTTTTAAGGGCAGAAGTTAAAGCAAATACATGCCAAACCATTGAAGAATTGTCGAACACCCTTAACCAACCTTGGTCGACGATCCAAGAACATTTACACCAGATAGGAAAAATCAGCAGAGCAGGTTTTTGGGTTCCCCATAACTTGTCAGTGCAAAACAAAGCCAACAGATCAACCACGTGCAATGCATTGATTCAACAGCACCATGCAGAACCGTTTCTTGATCGTTTGGTCACTGGAGATGAAAAATGGGTCCTATACGATAATCCAAAACGCAAAAGGCAGTGGCTCTCCCCAAATGAACCAGCACGCAGTACTGCAAAGCCGGGATTACACCCCAAGAAGGCGCTCCTGTGTGTTTGGTGGAGCACCCGCGGAATCGTCCACTTTGAAGTGCTTATTCCTGGACAAACTGTTAATGCGGACCTTTATTGTCAACAATTGGATCGAGTGAACCAAGCTCTAGTTGAGAATTACCCAGCTATCGTCAACAGAAAAGGTGTCATTCTTCAACATGACAATGCAAGGCCGCACTGTGCACGACGGACGCTAAAAAAAATTAATGAATTGGGATGGGAGGTGCTGCCCCACCCTCCATATTCACCTGATATCGCCCCTTCAGATTTTCATTTGTTCCGATCCTTACAGCACTTTCTAAGTGACAAAAAATTTCAAACTTTGTACTGCTTAAAAAATGGCATCTCCAGATATTTTGATGACAAACCAATACATTTTTTTCGATCTGGTATAGAAAATTTGCCCGCTAGATGGCAAAAGGTTGTGGAAAATGAGGGTGATTATATCATTGATTAAAAATAAATATTATAAAAAAATTATTTGTTTTAATTTGACGTAAAAATACGACATTACTTTCCGGTCAACCTAATATATATATATAAAAGAGTTCAATATATATATATATAAAAGTGGTTTATGGGAGCAATTTATGGCTCCGCAAAAGTATAATTTTTTCATAAATAAAAACCACTTTCTTTTCTTCTCTTATTTAGATATTATTTAGAAAAATTAAAAATTCTTGGTTCAAACTGCATTCAATAAATAAAAAGCAAAGTTTCAGTTTCAGATTATTATTTTTTGATTACAAAATTTGATTGATAAATAAATAAATGGATAGCTTGTGTGAAAGCCATTTTTAAGTTTTATGCCATGAAAGGCATTTTTTCATGGCATAAAACTTGAAAATTTCTAGCTTTTTAAGTCAGTCGATATATGTACACTTCGGCCTATTAAAGTCAGTCAAGGTAAATGCGCACCTATATGTTCTATTCATTTAAATTACTCTGCTGCTTTAATCCCCAAATAAGTTGATAAAACAAAAAAACAATTAAATAAAACAAAGGTAAATAATAAAAACAGTAAAAAATAAAAACATTCTGAAATAAAAAAATAAATAGCTAGTCTATTAAGTTGCATCTTTTTGATTAGTTTTAAAGCTATAAAATTTAATTAATTCCTTAATTATTTTTGCATAATGCAAATTTAATTTTGTCAGTTATATATGTATGTATATAAATATATATATATATATATATATATATATATATATATATATATATATATATATATATATATATATATATAAAACAAAAAGTTGCAAGTTCAATCCCCAACACGTCATGGTAGTACCACACTCTACTTGTTTCTGTGCTGCGGCATCGCGACTCACAAAGATCATGACTTTTTTTTCTTTTCTTTTTAAAGTCACACCGCACATGCATCTGAACTTTATTTTCTCACTCTGCTAAACCACATGTACATCTGATCTTCATCTTATCTCTTTGCTAATACTACACTCTGTTAATACTGCACAGTAAATAGAGAGTTGTCTAAATTGAAACAGCACCTTAATTGGAACACTAGCATTTATTTTGGAAATGGTTTGATGGTTAAATTTTGCATTTTTCTAGTAAAATAAGTAATAACATAAACTTATCTCTGATATGAAAATGCAACGATATAACAAAATAGTCCAAATTTTCAGGCATTTTTAATCCTAATAAAAGTTTTAAATTGCCATTTTAAAAATAAAAATAATTTAAAATTGGTTCATTTTGATTTTACTGGGTATTTTTATTAAAAGCAAGCTGTTCTGAGGAATCAAAGTGTTTAATTTAGAAAACCGATTGCCTTGATTGGAGCAAAATGGTGCCTTGACAAAATCAAATATATTTCCAATGCAATCCAATATTTTATTCTAATTTATTAATTCCTGATTTTCAATACTAAAGTTTTTTCTAATAAGAGTGCAATCAATCAGTGCAATCAATAAAGTCACATGGTTAAAAGTATAGTAGGTTTATCTGTTTGTATTAATCAAGTAATAAATGTTTCTTAGTTAAACCATCTTTGTTTAAAAAATATTTATATCTTCGATGTTCCAATTTTGATAAATCTCTCTTACAAAAGTTTTTACAAATATGTAAGGATATTGTATGCCAGCATATAAATAAATAGCAAACATATATGTTTATATCAATATTTATCTAAAATTAACTACTTTAGTACGAGCTTTATTATAAATCTTTGAACCTTTGTGATGATTTTTTTTAAACAGAATTAAATCATTTTTGGAGATTTTGAAATTTGATTTTAGGTGCAGGCTGAGTTTAAAAGTAATTAAGGTTTCATATTAACATTATTTATTACTTACAGTACTTAGTAAATATGGCAGTATTTAATAAATAGTAAATATATGCATAAATTTAAAATATATAATGTATTATAAATTTTTCCTAGCCCAGGATATCAACCCCTATTAAATTTTATAATTTTACCAGCACCAGGTTTGTCAAAAGTCCCATATTTTGCCCCATATTTAGGTCAGGAACCCAGCAACTTACTATCTATAGCATCTTTGTACTTAAATATTGCAATTTCAATTTGATATTGTAAAAAATAGAGAATATCTAAATACTAATATGTATATACACACATGCACAAATATAATAATGTTATATGTGTAAATAATATTGTACGTTTATTTATGTGCATTTGTGTAATTGGTTGGTGTATTGTGATTGTAATTGGTGCATTTGTGTTATATAAAAATATATATTAATGAAAAAAGTCACATAGCAGGTTTCAATAACTCCCTATTTTTTTCAAACAGTATTTAAGTAAAAAACACATTCATAAAAAAACTGTTTACAGTAACACTACTAAAGTTAACTACTTTAGTAGGAGCTTTATTTTAAACAATATTTTAGAACAATATAATTGTTATCTTTGAACCTTGTGGAGGTTGACTTTTTTAAAACAGGATTAAAACATTTTCAGAGATTTTGAAAATTCATTGTTCAGACTGAGTTTAAAAGTATTTAAGGCTTCAATGGAGATCTTCTTGTTTCTTGTGTTTAATGGAGGTCTTCTTGTGTCTTATAATGTGAATGGAGATCTTTGACTTGGGTATAATTTTTGATTTTTTTGCCTAAATAAATATAATCAGTTTTTACTATAATCACATTCCAAAATTTAATAAAAAATATATATCGATATTAAGTTAAATGCCTCTTCAAAAGTTCAGAAAAAAATTTAACTAAATATAAAAGAATCCACTTTTATCAAAGCTAATCTTTTTTTTTTCATTTTTTTTTTTTTTCAAATTTTCTCAATCCACTACTCTCTCAATTCTAAACTCTGAAAAATTACCCTTTTTTAATATGGAAGATGTTATAAAATCTCAAATATATATATTCTTTTTTTAAGATGTCAGAACATTTTGTTTGATGTCAGTTCCATTAGTGTTTGTTATTTTCTAAGGGTTTTTATTTTTTTTGAATTTGTACTTCATGGTAAATGATTGCCAATAGAAACTTTAGGTTCCATATAAAATATTTTTTGCATTTTAAGTCTAAAACGCTCTGTTTTCAAAATTAAATTAAAGTCTTTTTAAAGTATAAAATAAATTGCTTATTTAGGTGAGTACTCTGATGTCACACTGAAATAGCCTGCTGTCGGGGGTTTTATTGAAAAAGTATGTATAAACTGTCAATATAATTATGATTTATGGAAACTATGATATTATCTTTCAAATAATATTTTTAAAACAACTTAACTATGTCTTATTGTGTAAGTTTTTTTAAGAATCTTTAAAGTACAAATTTCAAAAAACAATATAAGAATCAGATTTTCCATAAAAATTATACAAATAGCCTGATTGCAGCGGAGTGCTGCTGCATCAACTAAAGGTTCAGGATGGGACAGCAATCTTTTCTTTTATTATTCTTCGTTTTCTTTTTTTTTTTAATTGTTGTTTGACCAAGTAGAAAGAATTAAAAATACAATGTTAAGCATAGTCTATTAATTTATTTTAAGCATAGTTTATTACAATATTTGAGTAATGAAGAT